AATAAATAAATAAATAAATAAATAAATAAATAAATAAATAAATAAATAAATAAATAAATAAATAAAAATCGCAAAGCCATTTTTCCGCATAGGCAACATCGCAATGTGATCGCAAATGCGATCGCAAAATCTACATCGGTATGCGGATTCATCGTTAAACGGGGCACTCGTTATACGAGGCACCACTGTAGTTGGGAATAGTCGGCTAAAGACTAAACAATAACAAGTTGGGAATAACTAGTTACTTGTACAGTAATATTTTTTTCAATAACTAAAGCATGACTAACTTACATCACAGCAATACAGTAATGAGGAATAACAAGACTCTTTTTGTTATTTAATCATAACTTTGGGGACAGGGGGATGCCTCACAAAACGGTGGAGGAAGAAGAAGCCACATGTTTCAATTGCCGGATCCTCTTATGAATCATGTTGCTGGATGTTAGGATAAAAATAAACTACAGTGGTGCCTCGCTTGATGACGTTAATTTGTTCCAGCGAAATTGCTGTAGAGCGAAAATGTTGTCAAGTGAAATAAAAAGGCCCATTGAAATGCATTGAAAACTGTTCAATGCATTCCAATGGGCTGAATACCTGCTCGTTCAGCGAAGATCCTCCATATGGCGGCCATTTTCGGGTGCCTGTTAAGCAAAAAATGCCTCCTAAAAACAGCGGGGAGCCATTTTGAGCAGCCAGTGGCCATTTTGAAAACCCAACTATCAGCTATTTTGATCCTCGTAATGGGAAGAATCGGTTCCCAAAGCAGGGAACCAATCGTCACAAAGTGAAAAACCCCCATTAAAACATCATTTTGCAATCGCAACTGTGATTGCAAAAACATCGTCGTGAAGCGGATTTGTCGTTATATGGGGTAATCGTTAAGCGGGGCATGACTGTAGTTGGGAGGAGAATGTGTTCTGTGCAATGGGCCAGTGGGTTGTAGAATTCAACAACTGTTCCTCAAAGTATGTAAAATGCAACTATTTGCTTTTGAGAAATGGAAACAGAGGTATCTTTAAGCATTGGAACTGCAATAGTAATGGACAGATCGAGGGTCTTGAAACTGTAATTTTGCCCTGTTGCTTTTTTAAAGTAACTGTCAAAACTACTGTATCATCTGCATCACTGCCAGTCTCTTCTTGTTGTTTGTGTGTGTGTTTTTTCTTTTTTATGTCTCTGGCTGTGGAGCCAGAGGTTGGGAGTTCAGTTCCTCTCTGTGGCTCCTTGACATGGGCTTAACTCAATGATCCATAGGGCCCCTTCCAGCACTGCATTTCTAGGATTATGGATAATGTTGTCATCGTTATTTATCTGCCTGTTCCCACCCAAGCACCAGAACAGGAGATGCTGCATCATTAACTGACAAAATATCCGAAATCCTTCTCTGGGTTTCACCAGGCTCGGTTTAGTCTTTGTAAAAATTACCAGCTTTTCAAAGAGGTCTGAAACATGCAGACATACAGACACAAATGCATGATACACATACAATAATGTGTTTCTCTGCCTAGTGTTATACAAAATTCTAAGTACTTCCTCTCCTGTCAAAATTTCCTGCCAATGAAGGCTAGTAAAGTTAATTTTAGCATCTGTTACTGTGAAGACTGATGCACCCAGATAAGGTATATTAGACCTCCAGAGTAATACTTGATGTAGAATCCTCAGAGAACGAGATCTATTAGGTAAGTGGCATTCCATGGTATTCTTAGCTGAAGAGTTGTAATCAGTGTCCCAGATTTCTGACATTTGCCATGTACAATTTTGCTTGGTGTTTACAAGAAAAAAAAATGGGAGGCAGCAAAAAGTGGCCCAAAACATCTACTGGTATTTTTGTTTTTCCCATTCTGGTATTTTATTGTCCCAACTAGGGACAAAGAATGTCCCATGTCATTTTTTGTGTGTGTGATGCCAAGAAACAGCAGTGGCGTGATAGCTGGATTTATGTTGTATGTGTGTGACAACATCAGCAGCGGAAAATTAACACCGATTAAAAGTAATTTGGGGATGCACGTGACTTGTACACAACGCGACAAGAGTCATGTGCACCCAAAAATTGCCAAGGAATCTGTTAATCCGTGACATTTTGCCACTGCTGCTGCTGTCATCACTGTCACCCCCATTGTGCACAAAGAGCTGTGCAACAGGATTTCAAATGTTTGGGTGTTGGTAGGTCATCACATTCAGTGGGGGACATTGGCATTCTCACTTGGTTCACGAAATGCAAGAGATTCATGTATAACCCTAATCAAGCTGCTAATGTCATAGCACTGGAAATAGATTAGAATTCATTCAATAGCCAAAATCCTGTTGGCATTTATGTAAGGTTTCCATAACTTGTTGTAGTAACTGACAAAGTGTTGGTGCAAATCTCTATTGCACAACTCGGTAAAGAGCCAAGCATGTAACTGAGACATACACGGGTACCTCATCAATTAGCTGCAATTGACCACAGCAAATTATACAAACCTCTTTGGGAACTTCTTGCAGTTCTTTTAAAAAGTGGAACATTGCTCGTATCCAGCAAAAGGGCTTACCAGTGTTTGCACAATCGCATGGTTTGTAGCATTCATATAAGAGTTCAGTGGGAAAGCACATTCTCCTTCGCAGTAATACGCAGCATAACCTTCTGGAGCAATGATCCAGTCCTGGATTAGATTGGACAAAGCAAGAGAGAGGATTTTGTAAACTGCATGGTGGAACTATTTACTCTCACCTCTTCTTAGCTAGCTCAGTATATAGGACACTAAGAGGGATTCTTACAAAAAGGGATTCATCTTACTCATCCTGACATTTTTGGACACACAGCGCATGGCCAATAAATCCAGAGCTATGCCAGGAGTCATGGGCCAAACCAGTACTCAGAATTTACGAGGAAATTAGAACCAAAGGACAAGCGAGCCAGGTATCACACCTGAGACGTGAGAGAAATACAGGAACACAGAGAGTCCCAAAAGGTCTGCTTGGCTTCTGAAATCAGACAGGATTCTGGGAGTTCAGAGTAGTGTGCTGGTAACAACGAAGAAGGTGGTGGTTCTGTGCGGTTCCTGTTCGTTTCTCTGAGTCTTATTCTGGATGACGGCTGTGTCATCTATGCATTGCTGTCCATTTTTGCAACATGGAAAAAATATGGCACTTGGAAGTTTGGCTTCAGGCACAAAAAAGCTTTGGGCTAGCCCTAATTTAGGTATTTGTAAACCAGCCTTTACTCTGGCGGGTGGGTGGAAGGACAGGCATCTGAAGCAATAAAGTCTGCTGAAAACAGTTTGCAGCAACAAGCTTTACAGACCACTGAGCCACTTGTGGCTTTTACTGCACTAGATTGCTTGCTCTCTCACTCTCCCCCACTCCACAAGTTCTAAAACCAAAGGCTCAGAAACCAGTGTTTCCCTTGGTATGAAAGATGGCATGTAAGATTATATGCTTCACCACCCCACACAAAGGGCCCTAAAATGAAGCAAACAAGTCTCCTGCAGGCCAAGAATGGACATTTTTATCTCAGTAGCTGCTGCTCATCAGGGATCTGTGGTACTTCAAATGTTTTTGGGGTGTGTGACACCCCCCCCTTCAGCACTAGCTAGCATGGCCAATGGCAAGGGATTATTACTCCAGTCCAACCACATCTGGAATAACTCATTAAATCATTGTTTTCTTTAAATCATTACATTTTAGATACTATAATTCATAGAACTTTTCTTCAACAAATTTAAAATCCACAATTTCAATTGTGATGTCAAATTACTGTATTTTACCATTTCTTGTTACAAGTCATCATCAGCAATTCTAAGTGTTCAATATGTTAACTTAATCCACTCATTTTCAGCAATCCCAAGTGAAACTTGAAGGTTTAGCAGGTCCAATTAAAAAAATACAGTGGTGCCTTGCATTACGATGTTAATTCGTTCCAGCAAAATCGCTGTAGAACGAAAACATCGTAAAGCGAAATTAAAAAGCCCATAGAAATGCATTAAAACCTGATTAATGCATTCCTATGGGCTTGAAACTCACCGCCCAGCGAAGATCCTCCATAGCGCAGCCATTTTCGCTGCCTGTGCAGCGAGGAATCTGTCCCAGAAAACAGCAGGCGGCCGTTTTTTTTAACCCGGCGGCCATTTTGAAACCGCCGATCAGCTGTAGGAAAATCGTCGTTTTGCGAGAATCAGTTCCCGAAGCAGGCAACCGATCATTGGAAAGTGAAATCCCCCATTAGGAAACATCGTTTTGCGATCGCTTTTGCGAAGACAAACTTCGCCGTTATGCGATTTCGTTGTAAAACGGAGTGCCCGTTAAGCGAGGCACCACTGTACTTTAAAAAATTAGATGTAAGAATATCGGTTTTGCAAGTACATCTCTGTTAGGTGTACTTTCTCATTTCATATTCTTTACACCTGACTCTATTTGGCATTCCCAGTTAAAACAAACCTATCAGCTGAAATCCTGTTGATTTGCACAAGCAGTGGGAAGCATTTTTGCCAGCCCTGTGATGCACACCTGGCTGTCTGACTGTGCAAAAGGCCACTTCTACAATTTTTCTTTTATATGCTTCTTTCTACAGCAGGAATTCAGCCGAGTCAATGGGATTACTTCAGTGTTAATTCGCCATTCTGTAACCAGGTTCACGGCCCACTCGAAGTGGGACTAGAGACTTTCCCAACTCCAATGAATGAAGGCTTTAGTTCCAGTGAATTAATCCCCCACACGTAAACACCAATGTATTAGTGCTGTCAGTAAAATTTCCGAATTCTGTTCTGGACAGCCACATATTCCCTCGTCCTGCCAGAAAACAAACCATTTCCATGCAGCTGGGAGCCTGTAGAGTTGCAAACTTCCACCTGTCTGGATGGCTTTAGCCTTTGCACTTTCAAAAGGAGACATATTAAGGATCACACCTGAAAACCAGGTCATGGGGTTGACATTACCACTGCAGTTAACAAAGAGCTAAAATACACCACAGATTTCAAATTCCAAGCACAGAAATGAAGTTACCTGCCAGCCAAGATCTCTGAAACTAACATAGAGCTCATGTTTCTTACAAGCTTGCCTCTGATCACTGCTGCTGTTCTCTGACGTTGGAGAGTGTTGGGTAGAAAGGGGAAGAAAAGCAAGGCATCAACATGTTAGTTCATGTTGTTCAGCATGCACCTTATGTTGCAATTTTACTGTCAATACTCAAGACCAGTCAACATCTCATTATAAAATTACACTTTTTAAAAACTTCTACACAAACAAAAGAAGAAGCAAGCTGTTGCTCCATAAGACTTGTCGGTGTATTGTCCTATAAGCTTCAATGATATTAAGAGTATTTGACTCAATAAACATAAAACACTCTGCTTGTCTCTGGTGCAAAACCTTAAGAAACCACTTCTAACTCTACATTTATTTCTATTTTATTTAATTTTGCTTCTAGGCGTCTTCGGGTCCACATGCAAGCATCTCCAGTTATAAAAGTAAGTTTTCTTCTTGGATTCAGACAAGTGAGAAAGTACAGAAAAGGAAGCAATGCTTCTGCCTTTACACAACCACAACTTTTATTTATTCAAATGCTTTCTTGTCCAAAGCTGTTTTATCTGTTAGATGGAGTAGAGCAACAATTACATTTCAGATATCAGCCAAGCTTTCTCCTCTCTCCCGAGACTGCTTGCTTGCTTACTTATTTATTTAGCAAAGTAGAGAGTACTGCTTACATACCGCCCCATAGCACTTATAGCACTCTCTTGGCAGTTTACAATTCAATTATACAGGCTACACATTGCCCAGCCCCTGTACTCAGTTTACCAACCATGGAAAGAAGGAAAGCTGAATCAATCTTGAGACAGCTACCTGAGCCCAGGATTGAACTAATCTGCAGTCTTCACTGCAGTAGTGCAGTTTAACCACTGCATCACAAGGCTTTTACATATTTCCTCCTTCCTTCCCAATTTAAGCTCATGAGACAGCTTACAAAATGGCAGCAGGGGAAGATACATACACAATTTATTTTTTTAAATGCAGCTAAATTTCTAGGCTAGACTACCTCCAGAATTCTACAATATATTTTCAGTGAAGCATCTTGCAGCAACGAATTACTGTAAATTAAGCAGTCAGAGTAGGCATTTTCTATCATACTTTGAGCCACATGTTTGGTGTGTGATTGCAAATGCTTCCACTTAACTTGTAGCAATTCACTGCTGAAAGTTATGCTCGTGCATAGGATTCCAGTTGTAATAATATTAAATAAGATTAATAGGATTAATAGGATTTTGGCAATAATAATATAAATAATATTAACAGATGACCAAATTTATGGAACATTGTGTATACCACACAACTGCATGCCTCATGCAAGGCATATGACCTTGATATGCTCCTTGGTACCCAACCCTAATTAAGAAGCCAAGACCATATGGTCTTTAATGACCTTTGAGTTCAAGGTGAGCCACTCTAGTGAACTGGAATACCATACTGATGAGGCTGGACTACCTCCAGAATGCTTTGCTAGAGCTCTAGTGCACTGCATTCCCCAGACCCACAGCAAAAAATCCCAACTACTTTATCAAAATATAAATTCTAAAGTCTGTAGGATGCAGCCATGACAGTTATAGTGGTATCCAATTAGCCCTCCTCAAATCACAAAGGATGCTCTTGTCCTTAGTAGGATGCTGATCATTGTGCATGGAGCTAAAACCAGAGACGCTGTCATTATTTTCCCCACTCCATTAGTTTTATGGAAAGCACACACCTAATGTCTGCATACCTCCAAGGTTTGACACCCGAAAGGCTTCTTGGTTCTTTGGTGTCTTCGAACGGTTCTGGTTTCGCTGTTTACCTCCCGCAGAGCGGATACTACGGAGGTGAACTTCAGTAGCTTTGAAGAAGGCCACTGTGAAGGGTTGTTTGTTTTGTGGGCCATGCCTGCCAATAAGACCGGCTAATGTGGGGTTGATGCTCTGCCCTAAGAAAAGGAAAGAGAAGGAGAAAATACACAAAGACAAATTATTTCCAGAAAGGAATTTTATCTGCTTTCCATTTATACCAGGAATGTTGTTGTTGTTGTTTAGTTGTTAAATCGTGTCTGACTCTTCGTGACCCCATGAACCAGAGCACGCCAGGCCCTCCTGTCTTCCACTGCGTCCCGGAATTGGGTCAAATTCATGCTGGTAGCTTCGATGACACTGTCCAACCATCTCATCCTCTGTCGTCCCCTTCTCCTCTTGCCGTCACACTTTCCTAACATCAAGGTTTTTTCCAAGGAGCCTTTTCTTCTCTTGAGATGGCCAGAGTATTGGAGACTCACCTTCAGGATCTATCCTTCCAGTGAGCACTCAGGGTTAATTTCCTTCAGAATAGATAGGTTTGTTCTCCTTGCAGTCCAGGGGACTCTCAAGAGCCTCCTCCAGCACCACAATTCAAAAGCATCAATTCTTCAGCGGTCAGCCTTCTTTATGGTCCAGCTCTCAATTCCATACAGGAAAAGGAGATGGCATGAAACTAGAGATGGGCACAAAACGGTTCATTCCGGTTTGTAAGCACAGCGGCACAGGTGCTGCTGCTCCCCTCTCCCGCCTTCTCATCAGGCCCAGGTTGCTTGTTTTTCCCACCTCCTCAGCTAATCAGTTTGTAATCACAGCGGCACAGGTGCTGCTGTTCCCCTCTCCCGCCTTCTCAGCTGATCAGCTACTCATGAGGCCCAGGTTGCTTGTTTTTTCCACCTCCTCAGCTAATCTCCCAGTCATGAGAAGCACAGATTTCTCGGTCCCGCCTTTTTGCCTGAGTGGCAGATAAGACAAGAAGGCGGGGCAGAGAAGCCTGAGATGTTCCTGGGATCGGAAGATCAGTTGAGAAGGTACAGGAAACTATCAGGCTGGACCTGGTGAGTGGCCGCTTGAGTCAGAGGAGGTGGGGGAGGGGAGAAGCAGTACGTATGCTGTCACCTTTACGAACTGGGACATACTATGGTTCTCACTCGTTTCTACACAAAACCTTGCTATACATTAATGACAGAGCCTTGAAAAGTTCCTTTTTTGGACTAAAACTCCCCCAAACTACTAACCAGCATGCTGTTCGGGGATCTGAGGAGTTTTTTGCAAAGGGATTTAGGGCCTTTCAATCCAAAAAAAGTAACTTATAAAGGCTCTGTTTCAAAGAGAGCTTCATCACAGGGTCCTTAAACTAACAAGGCCACTCTTGCAAGGAATGGCTCGACATAGCAAACTTCATTTTACACGGCTGAAACAAATGCTTCAAACTGAAAGTTACATCACGCCAGGTCAGCTTCGATATTAGATTTCCCTGTGCTTTCTTTCTTTCTTTTAAGAGGGGTTTCTTTGAGTTCACCTACCTATAAGTTGATGTGATCTTGTAAAAAGGCACCATAAAACCAAGCCCAGTGGAACACTAAATTTTCATTGGAAGGTTATTAGCTGAAAATAAAAATGCCTCATCTTAAGTAAAGGCGGATGCCGTTCCAGATTGATTGCATGTGAGTGCCAGCAACGGCTTTGGGCTTCTGGGAGACTTTGCTTATTGATGCAATCTTTCATATTTGATGGGCAACAGAAATTTAGTCAGGCACACACATTTAGAACTTGGTTTCTTGATAAAACAAGGCTTTGGGTGTGTGAGAGAGTGGCACAATAACCTGGACACGGCAGCTACAGCTAAGAAGTGACAAAATGCTCCCGTCATGAGCAGCCTATGGGAGGGAGCGTCTGAGGTGACGTCCAGCAGAAAGGCATCCCTATTTTGTGGCCCTGCTCTTGGCTAGTCAGAATCCTAGTATTCCTACATGCATCCATTACTCCTATGTGCATTCTAGTATTCATGCATCCATTGAATCGTTAAAGCAAATGCATGTGCAGGAGGCATATGACAGCCTTGCCGATCCCCCCTCATCCTTGCTCTGCACAAGCAGAAAGCAGGAGTCTGCAAAATAAGACATCCTGCAAGCACAGAGGCTCTCTAGGCAACTGGAAACTCAGTCACGATTCTTGGCTCCTCCTGCAGTAAAAAGGTACTCTTTTCCAACTTATCACTCTTCTTCTGAGGGCAGCCACAACAGAATGGCTGGAGCACCCTTCCCCTCACAGATGTCCACTTTGAATGACTGACTGGGGCTTACCAAGACTAGAATAGGCAATACAGAGCAGGGCCCAGTTATTAATGGGGGCAGGGGTGCTAATAAGAGGGGTTTCCTCCAATACATACTATAATCTCATCCCCTCCACATATACACTATCTTCCTTCATCTCCCCTTAATTGCTGTGACCGCCTGATTTTTATTTATAGCCAGACATGCTAGCAGAGAGTATATGTTTTTCTCTCTGTGTGTTGAACATGTATTCCCAAATATTTCGGGCCTGAAAATACTGCCAGCAACACTGGCTGCCAAAGACGCAGGGATCAGTGTTCCTGATTATTAACAGTGCTTTGTGCCTCTCTCCTGCCTAAACAAATAAAATCGTGAGGCTTGCACTTCTTGAAAGAGCATTATCACACAGGAAATCAAAAATATCCCTATGGCAAAATCAACAAATTCTAGTTTAGATGCTATCTGTTCTGGGGCAATAATTCAATGTTAAGTATGTGGTTTGTTTGGGTTTTCAATTTGGTGCCACCAAATTTCATGAGGTCTGAAAAGCAGGCACTCAAGAGGAAGCAAAATAAAAGTTTCTTGTCAAGGAGCTCTTACCGTTTCACCTCAGTTGCCTGCCTCAACATAGTAAGGGGGTGGCAGCATAGACTCAGCACCTCCTGGAACTCCAGGCCCTGGTAAACTGGACCCTCCTCTACCTGCCCCATGTTTGAGCCCTGATCCAAAGATTTCTTACTGCCTACCAACTTTAATAGGTGAGCTTATACTTCCCCATTTCAATTCTTAGGCAGATTTGCTGGGAAATACTCTGCTACCAGTCACACGTCAGGCTACTGCTGCATTTAAGCTTTGAAGCTTTGAGTGCTGTTCCCTTAAAACACTGCTCATCCCCATGGAAACGTGTTTGCCTATGGATATGATGTTTAGAAGTCCTTTTCCAGAGGTCCTTGCCATCTTCGCAGGTGAGGTGGCCAATAAAGAAAGGGCCTTTTCTGTTGTGGCCCACTGTTCTGCAGAACCTCACCAGCCACACATGACCTTCCACGAATCTCCATCATGGCACCACTCTTTTCTTTACCACATTATTGACCATGAGTATAGCTCACATAGATACAACTGGCTTTCTTCTTAAAGGACATCCTTTTTGTGTGCAGAAAGTGAGGAAGTGTGAGAGGGGGTCTAGTTGCACTCCCCTCCGTCAGTGTGAAATTGTTACTGTTTTTTAGTCGTTTAGTCGTGTCCGACTCTTCGTGACCCCATGGACCAGAGCACGCCAGTGTGAAATACATCTACCTTATTAACATCTGAACAGGGCAGCAATGGATACCCAGTGTGGCCTAGTGGACAGAGTAACAGACTAGGACTCAGGAGGTCCGGGTTCAAATCCCCACTCAGCCATGGAAACTCACTAGCAATGTGGAACTTGTAAAGTCACTCCTTAAATATCACACTTACCTAGAAAGCCCTATTAGGGTCTTTATAAGCTGGTTTCCACTTGACAACACATAACAACAGGACAGCAATATTCCCTAAATCAGAGCTTGGAAAAAGCATGTTTCTAGAGTACAGTCCCCAAAATCTCCAGAGTGAAAGTTTTTCACATGTTTTATAAAAATGAGGCTATGACATTCAGATTATACCTTCCCAGAGAATTGTATCTTTCCACTTTAAAATAAGATTTCTAAACTATTCTTACTGTTCTAAACAATTTCTTTGCCAAAGGGTTTGGCTGATTTTGCTTTACTGCTTCAGTTGCCTTTATCATGTGTACATTTT